CCCACTGGTTTTTGAGTATTATGATTCCTGATGTCAGATTTGTGTCCATTAATTCTTTTGCGTAGAGGGGAAATTAGGTTTTATAATGACCCATCCACTCCCAGTTGTTAAGTTCACACCTTCTTGTCAACTGTTTGAAAGGGGCCAACAGATGCAAAACCTGTAGATGTATCTGCATTGCTACGATGATCAACACTCCCCCTCTTTCCCCAAACACACCTTTCAAGATCTGTGGGTTCTACACACGTCTATCACAACATGTGGTATACCTCACCCAGTGAACTAAATGCCCCAATAACAACTATATGGTTGAAACCAGACAATTACTATGCTTTCAAATGAATTCACATAGAAAAATGATAAAGGACAAAAATACCAAATCACCTGTCGGTGAACACTCTCCACAGAGGTCTGACAGAGGTCCTCATCCTTAAAGAAAATCTTCATAACACCTTTATAAGACAAGTCTGGGAGTTTAAATTCATAACTTTGCTAGACACTATAAATCATGGACTTAATAAAGATACTGGATTTATAACAACCTATAATCCAGTAAACCGCTCCCCGATCTTTTTTTCCTCTCCTTTTCCCCTTTGACTGGAGAGGTGTTAACTGACCACTTCACCTTGAATGGTCCCTTGAGATGTGTTAAATACTTGTGCTAAACAATCTGACCCTTGAATTTAGCTTTGACACTAAGTACATTTCCCAGATTTGAAGAAATCGTGTGAGCTCAAAAGCTTCTCTCTCTCACCAGCAGAAGTTGGTCTAATAAAAGAGATTACCTCACCCATTTTGTCTCTCTAGGGCTGTGTCTACACTAGAGACCTTACAGTGGTACTGATGCAGCTGTGCCATTGTAAGATATCCCATGTAGCCATTCTATGCCGACGGGAGAGAGCTCTCCTGTTGACATAATTAAATCACCCCCAACAATCAGCAGTAGCTATGTTGGTAGGAGAGCATCTCCTGCTGACATAGCACTGTCCACACCAGTGCTTCTGTCGGTCAGGGATGTGTTTTTTCGCACCCGAGTGACATAAGTTTTACTGACAAAAGTGCTAGTGTAGACAGAGCCTTAGAAATATACTAGGGACATTTCATCCCTTATGCTTTAAGGCAGAAAATGACCACTAATAGGTTAGGGAAAACCACCACTTTTCCTCCTATGGGCAGAGTGTTTTGTGTTTATCCATTAATAAGTAGACCTGCACCTTTCTCTGAAGTGTGTGATATTAGCCATTGTCAATCAGGATATCAAACTAGATGGTCAACTAGTCTGATCTGGCATGACAGTTCCTTTCTTCCTCTATTTTTAACCATTTTTAAAGCAAATTCAATGTTTCTGAATGGGTTATGCTGACAGCTATTTATAGCAAGCTTCACTTGCTAATTGCTCAAGAAACAATCTCGTATTTGTTCTGGGAGGGTCTCTAAGCAGAAATTTTGTTTGGTACTTAGAAGCAGGGCAGCATACTGAGCACAAGAAGCCCTGCTGTGTGTCACAACAGTATTTTCCTAAATCAGCTCACAACCTGGGTTAGCCAACATTCAGTGAAGAGCTTGTGTTGATTGTTCCCACTGAGCATCTGGGAGTCACAAAAAGGACAATCTGCAGGGGAAGAGCAGAACTTTTCTCCTGGCCAATTGTGATGAGGGCACGGGAAAGCAAGATTGGGGAGAGGAGGAGAAAAAAAGGCCAGGTAATTAAGAGATAAAGGGAAGATTACTTCGATCCTGCCCAGCCCTCTAAATTTACCAAATCTTTATCAAGCAAATAACTATACCTATTAGTCATGACCCAGTATATAAAATGCTGATCCATACTAGGACCCACTGGCAGCATGTCATGACAAGTGCGAGTGGCACTGGTTTCTCAACAATATGCTGCCTCTCAAGCCTGTGTATACTGAATATTCAGCATATTTTTTTCAGTCGCTGACAATGATTAACTTAATTTCTGATCAATGTCACTGTTCTGTAATTAATTACTATAAAATCTTGCAAGAGTCATTACTTATAGTGGAGTGTAAAAATTTTCCACTATGGAGCAGAGTGTGTTTGGTTCTATTCCCTGACAAAGAGATTTGGTCAACTTTAATACATAATGATTTCTATCAAGGATTCTTTAATACATTATATGCAGAAGTCATTTAAAAAGAAGAGGGATGATCAATAATTAATTTGAACACTTTCATACATTTGCTGGTTCCAGGGCCGGCTCCAGGCACCAGCTTGCCAAGCAGGTGCTTGGGGCGGCCACTCCGGAGAGGGCGGCAGGTCCAGCTATTCAGCGGCAATTTGGTGGACGGTCCCTCACTCCCGCTCGGAGCGAAGGACCTTCCGCCGAATT